CAACATGCTCCATTACTCTTGTAAAGTACTCCATACAAATAACAAATAGCAGGGGGGATATTGGATCCCCCTGCCTTATTCCCCTTCTGCCTTTTATATTCCCATGTGTGTTTCCATTCAGATTTATACAGTAACTTGTTGTTGTTATGCATTCCATTATCCATCCAATAAATCTGGCTGGAAAGTTGAGGGCATATAACATCTCTTTCACAAATTCCCATTCGATTGAATCATAAGCTTTCTTCAGGTCCACCTTTATCAAGCAGCTTCTTGTTGTGTTCTTCCTGTTATACAGTCTGACTAGGTCCTGACAAATCAGTATATTTTGAACAATTGTCCTCCCTGCTACAAATGCACTCTGATTCTGTGATATTATCTCAGGTAACACTGTTTTCAACCTTGTGCATAGCATTTTTGAAATTATCTTGTAAACTACATTACAACATGAGATTGGCCTGTAGTCCCCTACTGTAGCAGCATGTGTTGACTTTGGTATCAGTGTTATTGCAGTATTGTTCATAGCTTTCAGCATTTTCCCTGATTGAAAGAATTCTAACACTGCTTCAGCTATATCCTCCCCTACTACACTCCAGCTTTCCTTGAAAAATTGACTACCATAGCCATCTGGTCCTGGAGCTTTTGTTCCATCTATTTCCCATAATGCCTCTTTGACTTCCTTTGCTGTGAATGGTCTTATCATTTGGTCTCTTTGCTCTTCTGATACCATTGGCCCTGCCTGCACTATTCTACTCACTACATGTTTCCTGTCTCTTTTGTCAGTACCCAGTAGCTTCTCATAGAACTCCACAAAAGCAATTGCCACCTCCTTTGTTGTTTGTACTGTTTTGCCTTGATTGTCTTGTATTTTGAAGATTCTTGTTGCTATCCTTTTTGCTTTAATAACAGAATGGAAGTATTTTGTGTTCATATCCCCTTGCTTGATCCATTGAACCTTACTTTTTTGCTGTAAGTATCTTGTTTTTGCTTCTTTCCAGTAGACATACTCCTTAGTCAATTCCTTCTCTTCTATGGTTCTTCCTTCATTCCTGGGATCCTTCTGAATTTCCTTCTGGCATGCTAGCAGCTTCTGCAACCAGATTTCTTCCTTTTTCTCCACATCACTGAATCTATCTCTGTTCAGCTTCCTTAGTACACTCTTGAGTCTGTTTAACTTCCCCACTATCTGATATATTTTTGTGCCTTGTACCTGTTGTTTCCAGCTTCCTTCAACCTTGCTCAAAAAAGAAGTATCCATGCTCCACATGTTATAATATTTGAATGCCCTCTGAGCTGGTCTATCATTCCCTTCCCATTGTATGATGGCTGGGCTATGGTCATACTCTCCTGGTAGCAGATATTGGACTTCTGCTATTGGCAACTTGTTCACCCACTCTGTGTTTATGAACACTCTATCAATCCTACTCATTACTCTCTCCTGCCCTTCCTGCTTGTTACTCCAAGTATAGTAGCATCCTGATGATTTCATTTCCTGCAGCCCACTATATTCCACACTCTCTTTGAAGTCTTTTATTTCTGCATATGTTACCCTGCTACCCACTCTCTCCTCTTTATCTATGATTGAATTCATATCCCCCATTATTGCCCATGTCTCCCTCATTTGATCTGCTATCCTCCTAATATCTCTCCATAGCTCAGCCCTTAGAGCAATGTCATTAAATTCATAGATCATTGTGATATACATTCTTTTCCCTGTGCTTCTGTGTGTCATTTTACTGTGTATCAGTTGTTCAGTTACTTCCTCTATTTGTATACTAAAAATTTTGGGTTTCCATAACAGCCAAATCCTCCCTGCATTATGTTTTGCATGATTAGTAGTATAAGACCAACCTGTACATAGATTAAGAGCAGCTTTATTTGCTTTAGCTCTCTTAATCTTAGTTTCTAGGAGTCCAAACATTCCAACTTGTTGTCTTTGAAGGAACATATTCATTTCCTTCTGTTTAGTTGGCCTATTTAGACCCCTAGAATTCCAGAAACCCAGTCTATCCATTAGGGGATTGGGGTTGAGGCCCCCTAATCAGCCCTGTATTCCTTCCCTGCTCTCTGCTTTGTGTTCTTTTTTCCTTCTCTTTCTCTTCTTCTTCATTCCTTCCATTGTTTCTGCCACTTGCTTCAATGATCTTATCTTTGTTTTGCTGGTCATTGTTCTTGTTTCTCCATGCTTTCCTCCCCTGCACCACTTGCCATTTATCTTGTTCTCCTGCTATTTTTATTCCTTCTTCATCCTGTTTTTGTTTTTCCTTATTGTTCTGCTTGCTGATTTCCCTTTCCCCTTCCTGTTGTTCCTGCATTGTTGACCTGCGGGTCCTCTGTTTTGTTATCTCCATTCCATTACCATTTTTTTCCTTTTCATTTTCAGCTTTCATTTGTTTCCTGCATTCCTTACTGCTATGCCCATAATTCCCACATACATTACAATATGTTGGCTTCCATTCATATCTTACTTCCTGCTCTATTATTGTACCCCATTCATTCTCAAACATTATCACTTCTGGAAACTCCTGATCTGCTTCCACTTCAACTAGGATTCTAGCAAATTGAAGCCTTTGCTTCTGTGTAGTAGCTCTGTCAGCTTTCAATGGTGTCCCTATCATCCCTGCTATTTTTGTTAGTGCATTTTGCCCCCAATATTTTATGTCTAAATTCATCAATCTGATCCACACTAGTATTTTCTCTACCATCTGTTTGTTAAACTTTACATCCGGGCTCCATGGCTTAACTACCATTGGTTTCTTATCAAACATTCTTATTCCTTCCTCAACAGCTTTTTCCTTGCTTTCTAACGAGTGAAACCTCACAATGAATACTCCTCGATTCACTTGAGCTACCTTGTCAATTCCTAGGTTTCCCCATATCCTTTTGAAATATCCTTCCATCACAATTTGCGGTGGATTTGAGCCAAGCACATAACAAATCACAGCTGATTTCCAGTAGATTATTTCCTCTTTAATACATCCATAGTAATTTTCACATTTCCTGATTTTTGTTTCCCTATTTTCTCAGTTAGGTCATATCCTTCACTCGTTTGTCCATTTCCTACTACCTTACTCCAATTCATATCAGATTTTGCATGACTAAATTCTGTATTGACATTTAGTTCAATTACCTCATTCTCAGCTTGTTCACCCCAGGATTTATTGTTCGATTTGATTTCCGCCATTGCTGCTGGTGTCTCCATTGATTCCAGATCTAGCGGTGCAATTCCTTGTATAGCATTTACATTTCTGAATTTCTTCGCTTCCGATGACTGTGGTACTCTTCGTGGATCTCTCCTTGTTTCTTCAATCTGCTCTGTGCTCCTTCCTCCTCCTCCAGATTTGGACCTGCTCGCCATTTCAGTTGACTGAGAGGGAGTTTAGTTTCTAGAGAGAGAAAGTTTCATCTGACTACTTCTTTAGTCCACAAAATATTTGTTATGCCACTGTTTACTCATATTTTGATAAAATTCTTATTAACATTTTAAGATCATACAAATGAATATGTTTCTCCATTAGGAAAAGTCAATAATCACAATCTCCAGGTATACTGCCTAGCCATTGCTTTTACAACTATCAATTTTGATGGCTTTAATTAAAGAATAGAACCTAACAACTTGGACTAAAAAAAGGTAATGAATCTTATTCTGTCTATTGTTGCCAAGTGCCAACCCTATGAACAACTTAGAGATGAAGTATTGGATGGGGGTGGGTTGAACTGGGGTGTGGGTGTGGGGGTGGGGATGGTGGGGGCAGAAAAGTGATCCTCTATTATTAATCTTGAAAGATTCCACAAAAAAAATCAGGTCCACAAGAATCAAAATTGTATCTTTATAATTCACAATTTGTGATTTGTGAAAATATGGAATAAAATATTAGACATGGACAATCTTCTTTATTAGCTATTCCAGTTAATTTTTAATAAAAAAAATAAAAATGGTGTTTGGATTCGCTTGTGCGCACCTTAATTATATTTCCGAGTACTTAATTATCACCTTCTACAAGCGTAAATATCGAATAACTTTACTCACTAATAGTTAAACATATGAGAAAAAAACCATCACAATCTTAAGACTGTGGAAAGTCATCAATTTAGGTTAAAAAACCATTAAAATATCTGATAAAGTTATAAAGCAAAGTTACAAGGAAATCAAAAGAAAGTTTAAGAAAGAAAAATAGAAGTTAAACAACCACCCTTGACCCCATTAAACAGTTTATTACCTTAGTCTTAATTACTATCTCTGTTGACTAAAAAACCATTAGTTGAACTAGCTAGACAGGTAGTTACAATTTAAGAACCTATATATTACCAGTTTCAAACTACTCCCATCATAATTGGAAAAAAAAAAATATCCCTGATATTTTTAATATATACAAACACATAACATAAACCCTCCCTAAATAGGCGAAGACATGATTTTTACCAAGAAAATTCGGAAAAAAAAAAACGAACACGCAAAAAAGTCAAGGGATTCAATATTTATTATATGTATACATAAAAAAAATTGACCTTATACATGCAGTGTAATTTTTCGGCATAAAAAAGGTGAACACACAAGAAAGTCAAGGGAATTCAACATCTCTAATATATACATAAAAAATTTGACCTTATACATACAGTGTAATTTTTCGGCATAAAAAAGGTGAACACACAAGAAAGTCAAGGAAATTCAACATCTCTAATATATACATAAAAAATTTGACCTTATATACAACAAAAACAACAACCCAGTAAAATTTCACAAGTGGGGTCTGGGGAGGGTAGAGTGTATGCATATGTTATCCCTATCCTAGAGTAGTAGAGAGGTTATTTTCGGAAGACTCTCGTCTCAAAAAAACGAAAAGAGACAATACATAGGTACCAGCAACAACAACAAAACTTGACCTTATATATGCAGTGTAATTTTTCTCCTTCTGCCCCTAGACCCCCAACCCAACCCACCCATCCCCCTAGCCTACCCCTATGAAGAATATTGGCTAGAAGTATGTCTTACTTCCAAAAATGGTACCTGTTGTCCTTAGAATGGTGCCAGAGTTCAGTCTATTTTACTATGGCCCATAACTAGATAACTGTTGTTAGCATTATATGCATATCTTATTCATGATCCAAGAACCATGTTATTCAAGTTCTATTGTTTCTATCTCATGTTCTTGACCATTTTCATTATCTTGTCATCATTGAGCTGTGTTAGTATTTCAGATTCTGAGTCAGAATCTTGGTTTATGCACCAATATGTAATACAATCTCAGAGAAAATTTGAGCAGAAAACCAACAACTTTTGGGAGTATGATGATCAATCCAAGAGTTGGGTACAAGTAAATTTGCCTTATGACTTAGTTTCTTGTTTCAATGATAACTGCACAAAAGCCAATAGAATTATTGATCAGATTACTAAGACTATTATTCAAGAACCTGAACAAAGGGAGATATTTACAAAAGTTAAGGATGAGGAAAGTTGTTCTTATTCAAATCTTCCTTTGAGAAAAAGCTTTTCTTTGACAAAAATGTCTGAGATATCTATTTGGATCACTGGTATAAGTGGATCAATTTATGAAAGATTTTGGAATGGATTGCAGTGGGTAATAGCACCTCATGATTTGCCATTATCAGCAGGATATGCAGTTTCTGTTTTTATTGTCAACCAGACAATTCTTGCTTTATCAGAATCAGGAAACCTTTATCAGGTAATCTTTAAGCATTCAAATAATCCACAAATAAACATGTAAAACAATCATTTCAACTGTTTGATAGATTTTAGAGAATATTAGGTTATAATTCTCTTTTATAGTATTGGAATAAGACGGGCTTAAGTGGAGCGATATGGACTGAGAGGATTCATATAGCCCCAAACTTACTTGGGATTGAGACGCAGTTGTTGTTGTTGTTGTTGTCGTATCAGATCATATTTCTCTTTTATAATATTGAACTGGGACAAGCTTAAATGGAGCGGCATGGACAGTGAGGATTCATATAGATGACCGCTACTTATTTGGAATTGAGACGTCACTGTTTTTATTGTTGTTGTTGTTGTTCGTATCAGATTATAATTCTCAATCAACATTTTCTGTTTATCAAACCATATTTCTCTTTTATAATATTGAACTGGGACAAGCTTAAATAGAGCGACATGGATAACGAGGATTCACATAGATGACCGCTACTTACTTGGAATTGAACATAATCATTATTTTTGTTGTGTTGTTGTATCAGATTATAATTCTCAATCAAAATTTTCTGTTTATATTTCTCTTTTATTATATTGAACTAGGACAGGCTTAAATGGAGCGACATAGACAGTGAGGATTCTTATAGATGACCGCTACTTGTTTGGGATTGAACATTATCATTTTTGCAGTTATGTTGCTATATCAGATTATAATTCAAATTTTCTGTTTACCATATTATAGTTCTCCTTTATAATATTGGAGCGAGACAGACTTAAATGGAGGCAATATGGACATTCATATAGGCGATTTGTTGTTGTGTAGTTGTAGTTGTAGTTTTTGTATCTTCTTATAATCTTAATCAAAATTTGTTGTGTCTTCCTTTGGAGTAAAAAGTGTAATCTGTGTATTTTCCCTCAGTTGCAGTTAAGTAATGATCAGCCAGTTTGGATTGATATTACGCCACCAAGCGATCGCCAACCAAGTACAGAAGCAGAACAAAGTGCTGTAATTCAAATTGTATCAGGAGTTGTCTCCAATGATAGGAAGTGAGTATAGAATATTCAATCCAACTATTTCCATATTGAGGATTTTCTTGAGGAAAAAAACAATGTTAAATTATGTTAGTGCAGATAGTTGTGACTTGTGAGCTCCAGGCTAAAGCTAATAAGACCTTGAATTTGTGCATCAACATCAGGAGAATATATTTCTGCACGAAGAATGGAACTTTATTAGAACTCTCTGAGGTTGATTCCCTAAGGTAAGAACAACTTATGCATATCACAACACTAAGGTGCTTTTTATTTTCTACAATGACTGATAGAATGGACGAACAGGAGCCTTGACGTAACTGGTAAAGTTGTTGCCATGTGACCAGGAGGTCACGGGTTCGAGCATAGCGGGAGTTTAGTGCACCGGGCTGCCCTATTTTACTGATAGAAGGGACACAATTTTTTTGTTTTTAGTACTGTACAAAGTCAGAATGTTATATGCACAAACCAAGAAGCTAGGCGAGAAAATACGCGAACTAGGTAGCAAGAATGTTTTCTGATCTAGAATATATAATGGAATTTGCTAAACTGTCTGTTTACAAATGTCATTAGGTGGATAGATCATGGAAAACCTCCAGGAGGAAATGTTGCAGCAATCGCGGATGCATCTACATTTAGATCAGAAGTAGTATTTACTATAAGGTGTAACAGCAAAAAGATCCTAGTTCCTTTGTTTCAGTAAGTATCATTCCAATAACCTCTGTAACTTTTTCTAATGGATGTAATGTTTTTTTCAGTACTTCAGGTGATCTTTATGAATATGATGAGAGATCAAGACCGTCGTGGAAGAAGCATATAAGAAAAGAGTCTTCTGCTCAAAATACTTCTCTGAAACCATCTCTAGGCTGCAGTTTGCAAGGAGTGAATGGAGCTGTTTCAAAATCTCTATTTCTCTTGACTAAGGTGCAAGATCTTGTTTTGTCCATCGCCTACGCTTACAAAATTAGTTTAAGAAAACAGAATACTGTACTAAGATAACTATGCTGCAACAGTCACTTTGATCAAGCAAAGTGATTTTCTTGCTTCGCTTTCATGTGTATAAAATTTTATCATAGCATCACTATCTAACTCGATGCTAATATATCGTGTTTTGACTTCCTTTTCTTATAAATTTTCAAACATATGAAGGGAGGATATTTGATAGAGAGACGGTTACAGCAAAGGAAATGGAAATGGATCGATCATGGAAATCCGAAAGATCATATTCTCTCTTCCATTACATGTCTTTCTGAAGTAAACTTGGCTGAAAATGCAAATTCATTGTTCCTAACAACTGCAGCTGGTTACATTTTTGAATATCGAATTCCAGATCATTCAGGTTCGTCTTTAACGTACTTGTATTCTCCTTATAAATGTGTGAATTCGTTGCTGAGCAACCGATAAAGTATTCAACGATTTGAACCTTAAACAAACATCAATATTTTGATGCTTCGTCACTACACTTCTTAATATATGCTTCCATAAACAGTAAACCAAATGAAATAAAATTCATTTAGTTCTAGTAAGTCTTGTAAATCTGCCTTGAAAATTGAATATTCGACGTGAATACAGGCACTGAACAAGTTGATGATATTACAGAAAGTTGGATTAATCATGTTTATCCTCCTCATGCCAAGGCTGCAAGAGGAATTCCAGGAGTGCAATTACAAACTGGCAGAATTATTTTTCTACTTGATGATGGTAGGCTTGGAGAACTTCACCTGTCCGGCCTCGGAGGTGAAAATTCCGGACCACATTATCAGGTTAATGCGAGAAGAAAATCATCACAGAAATATGTCTGGTCTATAATAGATGCACCAGAAACTGAAGGATGGAATGCAGAATATTGTACTGAAGAACATGGACCGTCGAATTGCATTGCAGGCATCAAAGATGAAACCGCTGAAATAGATCTCACAACATCAAACGCGAGAAGGAGAAGGAGTAACAAAGAACAGCAAAGTTACATATCAATTGATATATCAGCTAAGAAGGCTGCTGAAACTGAGGAAGAATACAATATCCCGGACAAATGGATCAACACAAATTTCCGTCTGAGGGTGATGCATGAGGGGAAATCGTTCTTCCTAATAACAAACGATGGTATGATTTTCGAGAATCTAAATTCTGAAAATGTCTGGTTCTGGCTTAGACATGATCATTCAACAGCTATTAGAGGTGCACTTGGAAACTATAATGGAAGTTTGTTTTTGGTTGATGAGCAAAGGAATTTGCTCATCAGAGAAAGAAACGGCGATGAACTAACATGGATAAATTGCACTGCTATGAGAAAAGGAAGACAAGTAATTGGAGGTCCTCCATGGGATGATCTACCAGTGAAAATTCGAAAAGTTACAAAAGAAGATGCACTTTTCTTTGTGAGCATAAGTGGGAGATTGCTACAATTCACAGTAAGTAGCATTATACTATGTCTACTTGTCTAGTTTCGCAGTCCAAAAAAAGGTGAGTATCGTTAAGAAAACGAGTGGAATTAAGCATATAAAAGGTCAGCCCGGTGCACTAAGCTCCCGCTATGCATAGGGTCCGGGGAAGGGCCAAACCACAAGGGTCTATTGTACGCAGTCTTACCCTGCATTTCTGCAAGAAGCTGTTTCCACGGCCTCTTGCAGTCTAAATAATGATAAAATGAAGGCTAAAATGAGTGGCATTAAGCATATATTGGATTCATAAACTTGAGATCTCAAAGCTTCCATTCAAAATAATGTAATATGAAGGCCAAAACGAGTGGCACTAAGCATCTATTAGATTCAAAATCTTGAATTAAGCTTCTAGTCTAAATAGTGATAAAAGGAAAGCTAAAGAGTCATAAACTGTTTCTTTAGGTTGCACTGAGAAAGTTCAAATGGAAAGATTGTCGATATCCAGGCAACGAGAAGATTGCAAGCATTGCTGATCAAGAGCTGCTCCGAGAGAACGTGGTGTTTGTCATTGGAAGGAACGGACGCTTATATCAGTATAACAAAGTCACCGGATTATGGCACGAGCACTACCAGTCTCAACATTTGGTTCTATCGAAATCTCCTGGAACTGCAATGAGATTATCTTCACTGTCACTACAGGGTTCTCTTTTCATGCTTTCGGAAGATGGTGGACTAGTCGAGTATCAATGGAATCCGTTTTCCAACGGATGGAATTGGATAGAACATGGAACGCCTGATCCAAGTGTTATCCTTGTTGGTTCACCAGGACCATGTTTCAAAGGTGCTCACTTGTTCTTAATAGGTTCAGATGGGAAAGTTTATCTTAGGTTCTTGGACAATGGGACATGGAAATGGAGAGGCTGTGGCTTTCCATATATGAAAAATAAAGTCGAGGAAAATGAAGAACATGTTTCTGACCCTCATGATTGTAAAGAAACTTGTACTTACGACGATCTTGCAGCTCGCTTAGAGAAAATTGAAGAAAACCTGCAAGCTTTAAACAAAAACTGTGACTCTAAGGTTAGTGTTTATCGACTATATTTCCTCTACTGGTTTCTTGATTCTTTAGACTATGTTACATGGACTCTCCGTCTTCCTTAGACGTTAACTGTTGTTGCATGTCGTTGCACTGGTGTTAGATCCTCCAAATATATAACGCATTCTGGAGGATCTGACATAGGTGCAGCGACATTTTTGGAGGATCCGAGCAACATAACATACATGTGAGTTCATGCAACAAAGTCTATAAATGTTGTCATGAGTTGACATTGGTCTATAAACAGGTGGCATCGACAAGACCAATTGCTCTTACTGAAGATTCAGTCATATTTGAGCTCAGAGATGGCAGAGTAAGTAAACTAGATCTCTACTCGGTATTAAAGCCAATCATTTATTTATAAAAGCCTAAGATTGCTAAATGGACTTACCAAATTTAAACAATCACTATAAAGGCGGGGCCTAAGCCAGCTTGCAAGCACCTCAATTATTCCACAAGTATCTAGTATCTACTATCTCCCACTAACACATTGTACAAGGTAACTCTATCCACCAATATTTAGGCAGATGAGAAGAAATCACCTAGCATTTTTTTGCCTCTATCGAGATTTGAACCATGATCTCCATAATCAGCAATAGACTCTCCGAAAATATCGCCGAGTGCGTCACAGATCTTCCAAGAAGTAGTATATTTTCGGAGGATCCGGCACGGGTGCGGCAGCATATTGAAGAGTCCGCGCAACATAGCCCATATTTTTACATTGTGCATTAAAAATTGTTGACAAGAGTATATCATTTTTAGTTGGCAGAAATGCGACGGAATGGAGATACAGAATGGAAATGGTCGCGTACAATTGGCACTCCTAATAGCCTCTGTATATCAACTTTCTGGGCAACTTTAGCATCATAACATGAAAACACATTGTCAACAATAGCTGCAGGACAGGAAAATGATCAAGAAAAGCAATAACTATACATGTAAATATAAAATATATACAAGAAAACCAACAGAAATTAGAAAATAAACAAACTTGTACAGTTTATAAACGTATCTCTTTGTACAGAAACTGTATTAGAGTACTAAAATGCTTCTAACTCTACAGCTTATGCATTTTTTTAAAAATCTATGTTATATAGCTCGTTTACAAGTATGTTTCTGATACGGGTGCATGTTCACTTTTAGCCCGCGCCAGAAACTATTTGCATTTGGTAGCCGAAAAAGTGTATCAAATTTGTATAATTTTTGTATATAATATACAGAATATATATAAAATAATAATAATTTTGGCTATTATTTTGAGAGCGGCTATACAATGTCATTTTTCCTAGTATAATTGTATCTAGTTTTTTCCATATATTTTAGTGTAATTTGAAGAACTGAAATATTTACACTCATATCATACCTGTTCAACAGAGGTACAAAAAAAAGGGTTTGTGATATTAATCTTATGGTAGTTAAAGTTAGTTTAAAGTGACACAAATAAAGTTAGGTAATTTAGTAGGCGTTTGGACATAAGAATTGTAAAATTTCAAAAAATGGTGAAAATTTTTTTGAAGTGAAAATGGTATTTGAAATTTAGAATTGTGTTTGGACATAAATTTCAGTTTGGGTTGTTTTTGAAGCTTTGTGAGTGATTTGAGTAAAAATTTTGAAAAACAGCTTTTTGGAGTTTTTCGAAAATTTCCAAAATGGATCTTCAAGTGAAAATTTGAAATTTTATGAACAAACGCTGATTTTGAAAAAAAATGAAATTTTTTTGAAAAAAAGGAAAAAAATTGTATGTCCAAACGGGCTCTTAATTTTTATGGTGAATGAGGTTCGGTGATCACCACTAGCGGCCCAAGGGTAAATCTGCTTCTAAAGCAGTTGCTTTAGGCCCCCTATTTTTTGGGGCCCCAATTTTTTCTAGTAAGTGTAAACGTTATTTTATTTTTAAAAAAATATTTAGTATTTTTAAATGAAAAAGTACAATTTTTCATAGTTAAAAAAAGAAGAAGATTGAACAGTTGAGCATAAATTGAGAAAAGAAATAGTTTTTTGGGAATATCTCTCTAGATCATAAATTGAGAAAGTATTCGTCGATTATTCATAACTCAAAAAAAAATTGAAACTTTAATACAATCCCAAAAAAAACATTGATAAATTTTTACGAATTAAATTAAAATTCCTAAATTAGAAATTATGTCTCAAGAGAGATTAGTTGAATTTGATATATTAGAAATTAAAAAAAAATTATTAGAAGAAAACGATTATAAAAATTATTAATAACTCTGCGTATAAAAAAGCTAGACAAATAAATTTCAAACAAAATTATATATGAAGTTCTTTTTTTTTTCTAACAAAAAGTTTAAGGCCTCTCATTGAAGTTTTACTTTAGGTAACCATGTTTATTGAGTCACCCCTGGTGATCACATATGAAATTTATCCAAGATAATTTCATTTAATAATTAATAAATTAAAATAAATAGTTCAAATTTAAAGATCTTGGATTCAGATCCTTTAAAAAACTACAGATATATCGTGTATACCACTTCATAATTAATATTATCTATAATAATGTGTCAGAAAATGTGTCTTAAGTACTGCAAATATCATTCCATTACAAAAAATGAAAAGCAAAAGGTGAATTATTTATAAATAGTTTAAATGTATGTTAAATATATATCGGTAGCTACCACGCCCGTAGAATGCTAAGTTTTCTTTTTAATTTTTTTTTTCGACGATATTATTGTGTCTTTGTGAGAGAGCTAGATTTAAGAAGAAAATATATAGTATTACTAATCTTCGCTTCACCAAATTTGGCAAAAGAACTCATGTCACTCTCTTGAAAAATTACAGGACTTGTGAGATATTATAAAGGTTCAATGTGTTTGATTGGCTAAGTATGTAGGCCCTATATTAATAAGGGATTTTTACATTTCTATATCACATATGAAATCTTATTACCTTCAATATTTAAGGTTTGATTTAATTACAAACCCGTATGCGAAATTACCAATCATATACCATACTTAATTAAGGGTCTAATTAATGGGCTGTTTTTACTCCTTAATTAAAGGTATTCATATCTAATTAATGGGCAATTTTTACTCCTTAATTAAAGGTGTCCATATATCTCACGTTTCTCTCTCCTTACCCTTCACCCCCTCACCTGCGTTTTTATCCATACCCCACATTCTTTTTACCATTTTCCCTCTTCTGTAACCAAACAAAATTCCCTCTTTCTGGAAAATGATTTGTTTGAATTCCGTTTCGACGTCACCTGGTCGAAAGGTTGCAGGCATCACCATTGTGGCCATCAAGATTGCAGGCATCACCATCGTGGCCATCAAGTGTCATAAAACAGCATGGGCGATATGTTAGTGTCGATCCAATTAATGGAAAAAGACGTGATAATAAATCACTTCTAAACTTCTTCTCATATTTCTTGATTGGAATGTTATGAATTGCTATTTTGGCAGCTTTTATTTGTATTTTTTTGTACAAATTTTGTAGATGAAGAGCCAATTGTAGAAATGTGACATCCACAATTAATCTGCAAATTGTCTGCAAAATTTTACAAAAACTACAAATTAACTACCATTTAACCGACATTATAACTACAATCTGGAAACAATTTACACATGAAAGTTCTTCAAGTTGGAATTGGTCACAACTACATTTTTGTTTTCTAGAACACACAATGTACGCTTCACATCATCCAACACAGTATGTATATGATCTGTTGAAGCCCTCACCTACATTTTCAAAACAAACATAAAGAAAAAAAATTTACAATATTAAAAATATAGTATCTACAATATATCTACATTTTATCTACAATTTATCTACAAATTAACTACAAACTATAAGTAAACTACAATTTGCCTACAATTTATCTACAATCTGGAGATACTGTATATTAAAAAAAAATTCCTGCACTAAATAAAGAAATTGTAGTCAAATTGTAGATATATGTAGTAAATTTGTAGATAATATCATAAAACTAAGAAGACCTATTGCTGTTATTTTTTTTCTTCTCATTTTGTTGTTCTTTACAAGCTTTAAGTTATTGTCATTGACTTCATTTTGATCTTAGCCTTGAAGATGTTGAAGGGGTTGATCAGTTGCGTGGGAGATTAGTAGAAGATAAGGGTATATGTAAGAGGGTGGTGGATCAGGATCCTCAAACACCCCAAAATCCTTCTGCAACGGAACTTGGTATTGAAGTCTCTCAAACCTCCCGTGATAGAAAGAAACGACGAAGAACAGATTTTTCAACTTGAGTGTTGAAACTCGAAAATTTGAATTGTTCGTTCATTTTTTTTTTCGAGAATTTGAATTGTAGTTCTGGAGAAAAATACGCAGATGAGAAATCTCCTTTCCCTTTTTAAAAATTGAATTTAATGTAGAATCAATTAACACCAAGATTCTCTCCTTAATTTTAGGGAATATTCTGCCCTTTTAATGCCTAATAGTCGAATGGTACAAAATTTGTAGGCAAAACATGGACTGGGCGGGTAATTAACAAACAATGCACATTTTTGGTAATAGGTTTCATATATGGTATAGTTAGGAAAAAATCCCTATTAATAACAACAATAATAATTGTATCTCAGTTCATAACAAGTTGGAATCGGCAATATGAATCCTCATCTCTTTTTGTAAGCAACTCATATTATCATCATTACCAAAATAATGTAAAAATTAAAGTAAAAATAAATAAATATATGGGAGTTTTCTACCAAGTCTTAAAGCATATTAATATCTAGTAGTTATTACATATATATATATATATATATATATATATATATATATATATATATATATATATATATATATATATATNTAATTTCGATTATGTCCTTTTATTATGAGTTATTATGCTTAATATTATAAGGTTATTTTTGTAAACTGGCATTGTATACATGCTTTTATAATAATATAGATATAGATATATATATAGATATAGATAGATATAGATATAGATATAGATAGATAGATAGATAGATAGATAGATAGATCTCTTCAATTATGCCCCATCTTTAGCTAAATATGCATTGATTCTAAATTTCTAAGGATTAGTAGATCTTTCAAGATAATTTTCTTCCATTTGATTTTAGGTCTACCCGTGCCTTTTAACACCTTCCCTCACTATACAATTTAATCAAATTATATTTATTGGCATTATATTTTTACATCAAAACAAGTAATTTAACTTTAGCCATTATAAAACAAAGTGAGAAATGTATATGAATATTAAAGATACATCTCCGTTGTTCACTGATATGATGATTCGACGTAAATGTAAGTAAGTCTTCCTTTGTTTCATTTTGTTTGTTGTAGTTTAACTTCACATAAAATTTAATTAATTTTTTTTTCAAAACTTATGATATTTAAATATTTTATAATGTTTTTGTGACTTTAAAAATTTTGAGAATCGTGATCTTAAACATTGACATAGCCCATGATGGAGTCACCTTATCCAATGGGGTGTCAACTAATGCTACTTCATCAGAAAACTCACACTATATAGTTCGGTAAATTTTTTTATAAAAATATTACTATATGTTGACTTCCCTTGACTTTTTTGTATGTTTACTTTTTTTATATTGTAGCACCTCTTAGTAAAAATTTTGACTCTGCACTGAATAACATTCTATAAAAGCTTCTCATAAAAAGACTTTGATCATATATGATATTTTCTAGAACGAACTAATAAAGAAATAATACCAGATAAAATGAAGGGATGAAGATTTTTTTCCTAAAAATCATATGGTACTATCGAAGCATGTTATAAAACCTTTGAATAGACGCATGTCCCAATTCCACTTGGTTTGATGTTAGGGACAATTAATCTAACAACATTAATGTTGGAGGGTTAGGTGGTCTCTCGGACACGACAATAAACATGAGTATACTATATTGCAAATTCCAATAATGTATTTTCTTCACCCAAGGAATTCTTCATATTTGCACTTTTACCCCGCTCCATGCATTAATTATGCCTCTGATATGAAAGGCATAATGACATGGAAGGTGAAGTAGTTGGAAAAGCCTTTGACCAAATTAACTTGTACAGAAGCTTTGCTAGGTATTATTTTCCTTGTCCATAATA